TCCCACTGCAAAACTCACTGCTCTCACTGCTACACATGGCCCTGCAACCCCATTGCAAAACTCTCTGCTCTTATTGCCACACACGGCCCTGCACTCTCTTCTTCAGACTGAAACGGAGGCGAAGGGACTTTGCACGGAGTACAGAAGGGGAATACTCCGGAACACACACAACCACACACAGCACAACACAACATAGCACATGCATACTTTACAGCCAGCACCACATACAACCCCATCAGTTTATCCATTGCAACGCAACACAACAAACACACATTACACCTCCTTCAACATATACATACCATGCATTCAGACATCACAACAGCAAATACAGCATAATCTAGTTTTAGAAGGGCACACATTCCACACTTGGGCCCCATAGCAGCTGGAGTCGGGGGGCCAATAGCTCCTTGCAGCAGGACAGTGAAGTTTCCTGTGCCGCACAGGGTGAGCGTACTCTGAGCAGCAGGCAATGGAGTTGGGATTGATACTTGGTTGTTGATTACCGAGGGCCCCTTAGCTGTTGATTTGCTTGTTGCTAGCCTTGGGGGATAGTGGGTTGTCTAGGTTGGAGCCTTCTGCTCCTTCCACCGCTGGGTTAGGGGCTGGAAAACACACACCAGAGCAGTTAATGAGCCCTACCACCTTACCGACAACTTTAGGCAGTTTCTGGCGATGCAGAGGAATTCGGGGGAGTTTCATGCTAATTCGACTGAACCGGCCACACAAGCGCCCTGGCGATTTCTTGCTTGCTGCTGGGTCCTGGTTCCCACTGCAAGAAAATACTGTGCATCAGTCAGAGAGCTGGCAGAGCAGGAGCGGGTGCAGGGGTATGTATAGAGAGCACAACAGTCGCATGCTGAAGCCGTTTTAAACGGGCCAAGCCTGGGCATAGAGCCAATGCTGGGAGCCCCAAAGCGAAGTGCATGGTGAAGGTGGCTTCATTTGTCCCGAGAAGGCCCTAGGTCCCCAGACAGCTGAGCTGAGCAGGGTCCGCACTAGCACAGAATGGGAATGTGGGCACAGCACCACCTCATCCTGGTGCAGGGTCCCCAGGGGGAACCATCGCCAGCGAGGTGCCAGACTAGACATGGGTTTATGATCTTGGCCGTGAGCAGCCCGGGGCTGGACAGTGAGACGTGCGTGTCGGCATCTGCAGTCCCAGTGGCTCAGCCCTGCCCTTGGGCGGTAAATTTAGTCTCAAGTGCGATTCTGACCTGCCGGGTGCCTGAGGCTCAGTAATTCACTGGTCTCTACAAAGCTTGCTAATGGTGCTGGCACCTGTATCCTCAGAGAACAGCCTGCTGGGGGTTATAGGAAATCTCTTCCCACTTGTTCCTCTCTGCCACCACGTCCTCTCTCATTATCCACCGTTCCTGACCTCACATAAGGCCTCCAGCCTCTATGCTCCAATCCAGGCTGGGCTCACAAATCCCATTCAAAGGTACAATTGAATTTCTTATTACTGCACTGACTCTGCCGCAGCTGTGCCATCCTGGAGAGCTGCTTCTCCCACAAACACGTGTGCTCTCCCATTCCACCCCTTGAACATGGGGGGAACTCCCGAAGGCATTCATGCTCTTAGTGGATGTCTAATTCATGTCCTCTTTCAGACCTCTCCTTAACACCTGGCAGTGCTTTGGCTGGGACCACAAAGCCCACCCCTTGGCAGTGCTTTCATTGGGACCACCTGCAGCTGCTGAGGCTACACCTGTATGCCAGTGCATCCCCTTTACCGTCTCCCTCCTGTGCATGCTGTGTCATCATTGGTACCGAAAGCACCCCTGTATTCACACCCTACACACGATTGTCATAATCTTTGTGCAAAATATGTCTTGTGAAGTATCATTTAAAAACGAATGACACACTGATCATCAATCTTGTTGTGTAATGTGTGTACAAAATGCATATTAAGCGTTATGAACATAAGCCAACATTATCACTATAATGCGTTTAGCAGACAAGTCGGGGGTGGGGGTAAACCAGTTTCTCAAAGATGAAGGACAAGTCGACATCTCTAGCCATCAAAGCTGACTGGCAATCACCTGTCAAATGGCCATTCTTTGGCAACGAATCGGGGCAAGAACAGATCCATCAGCATTTTAGCAAACACCACCATGGAACCACTAGACTCCATATCTCCGTCCTCACAAGTGGAATGAACATTATCTAGGAGTAACCCTCAGGAAAATCCATTTTGAGGGGTGGCTGGACTATAAAAGTGAGGGGCAAAAACACCCCATGTTCTCTCTCTCTCACCTAAGAAAACAAAGGAACCAGCCTTTTGACTTTGGGAAGAGATCCTGACCTGAGAACAGAGCTGGTGCTAGGCATAAGCAGATGAAGCAATTGCTAGGGCCCCAAGCAGCTCAAGGGGGCCCACTATTCGCTTTTTATTTATTATTATTGGGGGAAATATTCCTGCTTAGGGGCCCCAATGGGCTAGCACCATCTCTGCCTGAGAACTTGGCCAGCCATGTTGCTGGGACCCTTCGGTAAGGATTTTACCTTGAACCAAGTCTAGCTTGTTAAGTTTTAGCTATTAGGAAGCATTTTATCTTTATTTCTCTTGTAACTATTTCTGACTTGAGTACCTTATTAAGTACCCACTTAAAACCAACTTGTTTTATTTTTAATGGAAACTAATCCAGTGTTGTGTTTAAACTGAACTGTTTTGTCACTCCAGTTAGAGTAGCAAGCCATTGAATCTTGACCCCTTACAAGGGCAATGGACCTTTAATATCTGAATTGTCCAGGAAAGGGCTGGACAGTGCAGAGCACATGTTTTGGGGAAAATTCAGGACTTGGAGTGTGTTGGGGTCACCCTGCTAGTAGTAACCCAGGCTGGTGGAAGTCAGAGTGTGACTGACAGGCTGCTGGGGTCAGATTTGTTGGTCCAGGGCTCTGAATGTCTATGCACAGACATTCAGGGTGTGACCTGCATGTTGTTAGACTGTTTGTGAGCTGCAAAGCATTGGGAGGCACCCAAGGTTGCAGGGCAGGTGGTGACAAAGCCCCTTACTGGTTTGGACTGGGACACTTGCCCAGGCCATGGCTCATGCTATGAGCTCCCAGGGGAAAAAGACTATCTTTGTTTTACTTGTGTGTACAGCACCCATCCCCAAGGGGCACCAGTCCCCTCTAGACACTAGAGCAGTAATAAATCACCGTCATCCTACAGTCTGGTTTTGTGTAGAAAACCCTTTTATCCTCTGTGTCACCGTTCTGGGGCTAACTGCACTCTGCCCCCATCCATGGTCTGCTCTTGGGCCCCCCTTTACGTCTCAGGCCTCCACCTGTCATCTCCCTATGGGTAAGGACCCATGTGCTTCATCCTCCAGATTGGGGTTTTAGGCTGCAGTCCCCATGCAATTCACGGTGACTATCCAAGCAGGTGTGTCCAGTGCCTGCTGTTGTCTTCTCTCCCTGGGTCTATAACAGGGTTACCAATGAGCAACCAGCTTTCCCAGAGCACAGTCCTTTTATTTAGGACAAAAACATTACAGAGGAAACCTATCATAGCACAATACACAGTCTACATGAATGCCAGCTTCCCAGGGGTCACCAATCTTCCACATGGAGACCCTGGCAGGTTCCAGGCCTTCCAACCTGTTCACCAGGGTTGCAATCTCATGTCAATTTGAGGAACCAAATGAGGGACTTGAGTCAGTTCACACACCCCACTTATACCAAAAGTCTGTTCTTTGTCTGCTGGATCTGAGGCAGTCTATGCAATTCCCCCTGGTGCTGGGGTGGGACTTCTCTGGAGTTGTTCACCTGTCTGGGCATTTGCACTAATAACGCCGTCCCCCCACTGATTTTAGCTCCTCCATGAAGCTCTGTAACCCTTCCCCATGGAGGTAGAATACAATTCCTAGTTCCCAAAGACACAGAGAACACTTATAGAGATACATGTGTATGAATAAGCCTGGTGCCCACAGTGCACATCTCAGTATACCGGTCCATGCTTCCAAGATCTCAGATCTGTGTCACTAATAAAAATGTTCTAAAATACAGATTTTAGGAGGGGAAGGATATTCTGGGCAGGTGGGTGGGCAGGCAGGGGTTCCCCTACAGTATTTGCAATCCAAACACAACAGTATGGGACTTCTGCAGGAGACCCACAAAGTGAAGCCAACCAGTCTAGTTTTGGTGTCCAAGCTGAGTGAACAGCAAATCTAACAAATGCAACAATAAAATCACTGCAGATAATGAACTTGCTTCCAAATTGAGGGAAGAGGCAGTGTTTTACCATGAATCTTGTGTCTGATGTTGTATGATTGAAGATGACCATGTATATCATTGTTGCCATCACTGTCGTACAATTGCACTAATTTATGATACAAAGTATATCATGTAAGGTGTCAATGGAAAAGTTACACTCTGTCAAGTATGAGTATCCTGGTTAAATCCATGTATCTTCACTATATCTGAAGTTATGAGTATTGGCTATGTATTTGTATCTCAAATGTGTTTACTCTTGGGGTGACACCCACAAGGTATCCAGTCTCGCCAGCCTTTTGTGAATGGACTATTTAAGCTTGATGGGCCATTAAGAAGAATCAACTCTCTAGATAGCGCTTCCTGAGGATGCCTCAGACAGAAAGGAGCCAATGGCTAACCCTGTGATTCAGCAAAATATGTAAGAGCATGTGATGTGGACATGTGACCTCGGACTCCATTTTTGTCAGTAACTTTCTGTATGCAGGGGCTGTGGGCTTTGTTTGGGACAGTAAATTTCCATGCACATAGCAGAGGATATAAAAGACATCCGAGACATCTCCATTTTGCCTCATTCCTACTCCAATTCTCTGGATTGTGGATTTACAACTAAATAGAGTATTTTGAACTATGGACTGAGGCCCTTCCAATCTTTCAGAAGTTACCAGAGAGACTTTTGCAAACCAGCAGACTGTTCTATCACTGCTATGAACCTGATCTATGAACACTGAAAATCATCTATATGTATATGATTCTTTAACTATTCAATACACTCTTCCTTCTTTTATTAATAAATCTTTAGTTAGTTTCCTAAGGATTGGCTGACAGCATGATATTTGGGTAAGCTCTGAGATACATACTGACCTGGGGGTAAATGTCTGATCCTTTGGGATTGGGATTGGTAGACCCTCAGATATGGTGACTTGGGTTTTCAGTAACATCTCACTATATTAGACAAGTGGCTATTCTCTGACAGGAAGGATGTAAACAAGTATTTACAATTCACCTGTAGGACAGTTTGTAGAGCACGTACGGAATGGAATGGCCTAACCCCATGACCTAGCAAGGGTTTTTCTAGCACAGAATATAAAAAGAGTGGGGGAAATGGTTCTGGTCACTTCTCCTCTCCCACCTCTACTGACGGCAGCAAGATCGTTAGAAAGACAAAGAGCCATCACTGAAGTGGGGGTAGTGGTCCTAGCTGGAAGGTTTTCTAGTTAGTATGGACTGCTGAAAGCTTTTGGGTGAGAAACAATTTTTTGGTTTCAAATCTTATTTAGCTTGTTAAAGTTTAGAAAATACACCTCTACATATCGCGACCCGATATAACACGAATTCGGATATAACGCGGTAAAGCAGTGCTCCTGGGGGGCAGGGCTGCGCACTCCGGTGGATCAAAGCAAGTTCGATATAACGCGGTTTCACCTATAACGTGGTAAGATTTTTTGGCTCCCGAGGACAGCGTTATATCGAGGTAGAGGTGTAGTGTGTGTGTTTATCTTTAATTTCTTTTGTAACCAATTCTGACATTTATGGTTTTATTACTTATAA